TTTTTTTTCTTTTTTTTAAATTAAAGTTATGGAACAAATTGGTTTCACGTTCAACAATTTATACACATTTTGTTTCATAGAACATTTAATTTTGTGACATTGAATGCCCACACCTACAATGTAACAACACTTTTCCCATTTACTTCCTGTTTACAGTTTCCATTTGTCCTTCTTTCTTATCCATTCTTGCTTTTTAAACTTTGTCTCTGGACAAATATTGCCCTTTGATTTCATGTAGTTGATTATTCTAAGGAGTGCTATACCTCCCTGGTACTATTATTTCCCCTATAGGCCTGTTTGTTATTTGCCTGAAAGTTGAGCTATGGGGATAAGATTATTATGTTTCTTATGATTTTTGAGTTTTGTTGCACAGTTTTCTCCCTTTCTATCCAGGACTGGCTATTATGATCCTTTTTTGAGTAGTCCACAGTTATGTCTGGGTACCATATGTTTCTTTTGGTTGCAGGTTCAAGGAGGCTGAAGTTTATGTGGTTCATTAGACCTTTGGTACATGCATCTTTGATTTTCTGCACTCTTCATAGCTCTGGATGGGGAGATCAACAATTATACTTTAGATGGCTAAGATCTCAGTGGCTGCTCACCAGAGTAGGTTGGACAACATTGTTTTGTTATGCCAATTGACCTTGATGCCACCCACAACTATTGCAGACCTGTATATGGTTGGTGTGGTGCTGTGGGTTAATGTGCCAGATTGCAAAGCCATTTGAAGTGGAAGGTCGGCAATTCAAGCTCACCAGCTGCTCCTCAGAAATCCTATACAGGTCACTATGGGTTGGGACCAACTCAACGGTACATAACAACAATACTTACTCTGGTCTCTTAATTATTACCCCCAGGTGGTATCATGGAAAACTTGATAGAACTATAGCAGAAGAACGCCTCAGGCAGGCTGGGAAGCCTGGCAGTTACCTTATAAGAGAGAGTGATCGGAGGCCAGGGTCCTTTGTACTTTCATTTCTTAGCCAGACAAATGTTGTCAACCATTTTAGGTAAGTCTATATTCCTATTACAAGGCTATATAGTATATTTATTTTTATATCATTTTCATAAATATAGCTGCTTTCATAAAGTGACATTTAAGTAATAAATTTGTTTTCAGTTAAACTATTTCATCATTTAGCGTAGATATTGTTGGATGTTTGCATTAGTATTTAAAAGAATAGTATTATTAGATGTTATCGTGCTAATTCTCCACATAATTATAATTACTTTTAAAGAAGTAGTAAAGCTGAAATATAAGAAATGTATAGTTTTTGACTACAGAGTTACTAAAATACTGAAAACTATTCAAAAATCAAGGTTTGTGCTCTTTAATTCATTCCAGGTATTCTGAAACTCTTTTCAACCATTCAATTCATTAGTTATTTTAGATTTTCAAGCGAATGTATCATATATAATGTGTGTGTATGTGTGATATATATATTTAACTTTTATGGCAGAAATTGTAGAAATAAAAAATACCTAGTGTGGGCTAATGCATCAGACTGCAAAGTCGTTTAAACTGCAAGGTCGATGTTTCAAACTTACCAGCTGCTCCCTAGAAACCCTATACAGGGTCACTGGGGTCGTTATCGACTCAATGGCACTTAACAATAACAGTGCTTATAATATTAATGAGAAAATGTGTTTCCTTTATTTTTAGATTACAAAATAAGTTTTTAGAGTAGTATATCATATATGTTGTTGTTGTTGTGTGCCGTCGAGTCGGTTCCGACCCATAGCGACCCTGTACAGGGTTTCCGAGGGTGTAAATCCTTACGGGAGTAGAAAGCCTCATCTTTCTCCCGCGGAGCAGCTGGTAGTTTCGAACCGCTGACCTTTTAGGTTCACAGCCCGATTCATAACCACTACGCTACCAGAGCTCCTATATCATATATAGTATATGAAATTATTATTATACTTTGTATAACTATTTCAAGAAATCTGTCAAATACCCAAGAAAAATTATTAAAATTGCAAATTTAATTTTTAATATGAAAAATGAGTGAGATATCATGGCTGATTTTCAAATATTTAATGAATTGTGCAATTAAAATTTGTAGTCTGTTTATATGCCATATCAGTGCATACCTATGTGTATTTTTAAAAGCAAAACCCTCAAATAATTTGCAAATGAGGAAGACATAAATTCTTAATGTGGTGATACCATTAAAGGAAAATAATAAAATTATAGTTTTAGATTTTTTTAATGGAAGTTATTGGTCTTTAGAATTGTCTAAAATTTTGTGTTCTACTGTATTTTTTTTTTTTCCCTGTATAAATAGGATTATTGCTATGTGTGGAGATTACTACATTGGTGGAAGACGTTTTTCTTCACTGTCAGACCTAATAGGTTATTATAGTCATGTTTCTTGTTTACTTAAAGGAGAAAAATTACTTTATCCAGTTGCACCACCAGAGGCAAGTAAAATTTGAATAAAATATCTTTCCAAGCTTTATTATTTTAGTTTAATAATAGATTTAGCTCTTGTTCTGTTACATGTGATATTTGTTATAATTCTAAGAAGTATTTGTTGTGTTATATTTTAATTTTTGTATTTATATTGGTTAGAGTAATACAGACAACTTCTGTTTATAAAACAGAAAGAATAATTTTTATGTAATTTATATTAAAGTAGCTCATATTTTAATTTTTGAGTAATATTTGTGTTGATAGCCTAAAAAATAAATTTGAAAGAGTGAAAAGTAATTATTGATGTGATAGTCATATCCTTAAGTTGCTGCAAGATCCTGAAATGCCTCAAATATTCTTAAAGGAAGGTTCTTATATATGTTGTGTAGTTTTTTTTTAATGGAATGATAACTAATTTTGCTTAATATAAATACATTGATGATGCTGTTAAAAGAATTTTGGTCTAAACAAGAAATCTTTCTAGGCTCTGGATGTTTAAATTGTTAAAAGAGTCTCAGTAAAAAATAATTTGGATGATGATTTGGAGTTTATAATGTGGACTCTATTGATTTGTGGGCCTACATCTTTTGACTTTGAGACAATCAAGGTGTATTTGTTTTTTTAAGTGCATTGTTTTTATGATTTTTAGCCAGTAGAAGATAGAAGGGATATGTGAGCCACAGTAAAGATAATTTGGATGGTACTCTGGAGTTTTTAATGTGGAGTCTGTTGTTTTTGAGTTTGTTTGGGCATACGTATTTTGATTTTTAGACAGTTAAGTTATTTATCTTTTAAAATTAATTATTTTTATAATTCTTAGCCAGTAGAAGATAGAAGACGTGTGCGAGCCATTCTACCTTACACAAAAGTTCCTGACACCGATGAAATAAGGTATTTTATAATCTCATTTATACGCTTTGAAATAGACATTTGAAAGAGTTAATATTGAAAACTTATTACTCTTGGACTAGGTTTTGGAATTGGAAGAAATAGACTACAGCATGGTATAAAATGCCTTTAATGTTGGTTCCTTTGTTCCTGTACACCTCTATTGGCTTATCTAGTCAGACTACAGATTTGGGCCAGCCAGAGTGGATACAAGAGAGATGTCAGGACAAAAAACTTAGCTTTGATTAGACTACTTATGACAAAATATGAATAATTCTCTTACACTACACAAGGGTAAGTCAGAAAGTATTGCTGTAAAATCATAGACACCTTTTTAAAACTACTATATCAAAATGTAAAGCTATTGTTTCGTGACAAAGGCTCCGTCTAGGTTTGTACACTTCTGATTATGTTTCCAAACTAAGACAGACTAGGAAAAACAGCTGGTGATCTACTTCCAAAAATTAACCCGTGAAAACCTTATGTATAGCAACAGAACCCTGATAATAAAGCCCTGGAAGATAAGCTTCTCAGCTTGGAAGGCACTCAGAATACAAGTGAAGAAGAGCTGCCTCCTTAAAGTTGACTCTAATGGAGAAAAGCTTTCAGGAGGTTCATTTGCACAACACATGAGAATTTTAACAGCTTTAAACATCCATAATAGGAATGTGTAATGTACAAATTATATGAATCAAGGAAAATTGTAAGTTATCTAAAAATGAAATGGAACTCTTGAAGAGTAAGGGTGCTACATCCATTGTTAAAAACATTTCAAGATATATCCTGAAGCATAGTGCTGTAAGTGATAGGTTAATATCGATATTTTGTTGTTGTTGTTGTTACGTGCTGTGGAGTCAGTTCCAACTCATAACGACCCTGTACAGGGTTTCCAAGACTGTAAATCTTTACAGGAGAAGAAAGCCTCATCTTTCTCCCGCAGAACATCTGGTAGTTTCAAACTGCCAAACTTGCAGTTCACAGCCTGATTCGTAACCACTACGTTACCAGAGCTCCTTATAAGATGATGAAATTGATTTATGTAAACTACTGCAGTATGAAATGGAATGAATATGTGACTCCAATGTGTTTATGTTGTTAGGTGTCATTGAGTTGGTACCAACTCCTAGTGACCCTATGCACAACAGAACTAAACACTGCCCAGTCCTGGGCCAACCTCACAATTGTTGCCACGCTTTAGTCCATTTATGCTGCCACTTTGTAAATCCATCTCGTTGGGTGTGTCTTCCTCTTTTTCTCTGATGCTCCATCTTACCAAACATGATGTCCTTATCCAGCGACTGGTCCCTCCTGACAATATGTCTGAAGTATTGGTAATTACTAGTAATTAGAATACAGATTTGGAAACAAAGAAGGATTAATAGTTAGAAAAATTGGCTTTGGTGATAGAAATGACGCAGGTGATTTACATGATAAATTTCTACAAGATTTATTCTTTGGAGTACTTTTTTGACAACAATATACAACTTTACACATGGATATTGCTATACAGATTACAGGAATCAAATTAATCACATTGATGAAAAGAGACAATGGAGAAAACCTCATCATTATCAGTCAAGACATAGCTAGGGACAAACTTCAGAACACACCATCAGTTGCTCATATGCAAGATCAAGTTGACGCTGAAAGAAATCAGCACAAGCCCATGACAACCAAATTATGACCTTGAAAATATCCCACCTAAATTTAGAGAGTTGATCAAAAGTAGACTTGATGCACTGGAAACTAATGACCTCTCAGAACGGACTTATGGGAAGATATCATAGACTTCAGTCTACTGGTGTGGTGCTGTAGGATCAGCACTGGACTGCGAACCACAAGGTCAGTAGTTAAAACCCACCAACTGCTCCTCGAAAATTCCATACAGGGTCGCTATGAGTTGGAACTGACTGGACAGCACTTAACAATAACAAGAACATCATAGGTATCATACTTGAAAAAAATGAGAAGTCCTTAAAAAGACAGAAAAGAAGGAAAATGCCAATAGGGATTTCAAAGGAGGCTTTGAAACTTGCTCCTAAGCTCTGAGTAAACTGAATGGAAACATTGATGAAGTAAAGGAGCTGAATGGAGGGTTTCAAAATCTGTCTCCAAAAGCCAAAATAAAGTATTATGGTGACGTGTACCAAGACCTGGAGTTAAAACATCAAAAGGAAGGAGTAGACTGGCATTTTTCAAGCTGGTGGTGTTATTAAGTGCCTTGTAGTTTGTTCTGTCTCATAGTGACCCAGTATAGGGTTTCTGAGGAGTAGCTGGTAAGTTTGAACTGCTGACCTTGTGGTTCGTAGTCCAGTGCTGTTACTACAGTGCTACATCAAAATTCAAGTCTCAGTTTCAATAGTGAAGTATTTCTTGGCTTAAAAAAATTTGAATGACTCAGGAAGTAACAGATTGGAAGAAGAGAGAAAGAATATACAAGAGTCACTGTACCAAGAAGACTTGGTTGATTTTCAGCCATTTCGGGGGGTAGCAATTGATCATAGAGTTGCTGGTTTTGAAGGAAGATGCTGAAATTCAGTGAAGGCATTGGCAGGAAAAACGTCTTACAGAATTGAATGGATGTAATGTTGGAATTGTCTGTATCATGAACTTTGGAAGACAGTTCTCTGGCCAGCTAAATAAAGATCCATATTTGTGCTTATTCCAAGAAAAGGTGATCAAGTGGAATGTGGAAATTATCAAACAGTATATTAATATCACAGGTTAGCAAAGTTTTTCTGGAGATAATTTAAAATTGACTGTAGTTGTATATTGGCAGGGAAGTGTTGTTGTTGTTGTCAGGTGCCATCGAGTTGGAACCGACTCATAGCGACCCCATGCACAGCAGAACGAAATAATGTCCGATCCTGGGCCAACCTCACTACCGCTGCCACACTTGGACGCCATCAATGTTGCCACCTGGCTTATCCATCTCGTTGGGGGTCTTCCTCTTTTTCTCTGACCCTCCATCTTACCCAGCATGACATCCCTCTCCAGCAACTGTTCCCTCCTGACAATATGTCCAAAGTATGAGAGACGAAGCTTAGCCATCCTGGCCTCCAAAAAGCACTCTGGCTGCACTTCTTCCAAAACAGATCTATTGGTTCTTTTGGCAGTCCATGGCGCTTTTAGTATTCTCCTCCAACACCACAACTCAAAGTAATCAATTCTCCTACGATCTATCTTATTCACTGCCCAGCTTTCCTATCCATATGAGGTTATTGAAAGTACCATGGTTTGGGTCAGGCGCACCTTAGTCCTCAAGCTGACATCTCTGCTCTTCAACACTTTATAAAAAGTTTCTGTGCAGCAGATTTGCCCAATGCAATACGTCATCTAATGTCTTGACTGCTGCTTCCACGAGTGTTGTAGTTGATCCAAGAAGGATGAAGTCCTTGACAACTTCAATCTTTTCTCCAATGATAAGAATGTTGTTTATTGGTCCAGTGGTGAGGATTTTTGTTTTCTTGACATTGGAGCAGCTGATGGGTTTGAACTGATGAGTTTGAACTGCATTGCTTCTCATACAGCACTACACCAGGACTCCAAAAGGAATTTGTAATATTTTTTAAATTGATGTTTTACATCCTAATAATGGTAAATATCAATTAATATACCCATTTAAATTAGAGCCTTTGGTATTTCAATAATTTTAACAGTGTAAAGATGTCTATCATATGAGTCTAAAGCAATTTGAGAACTGTTGATTGAGGAAGATGACAATTTAAACAATTAAAATTTTAATAGGATAATTAAATTGTATGAAGTAATGAGTTTATGTGTACTTGTGAACTTTTTTAAAGTAAAAGCATCTATTATTCCCTCCAGCTCAATAATTCACTAGAATGAGTGAGAATTCATGGAAAGGGCTATACTTAATATTACTAGCTTATTTATTATTATTGCAGAAAGGATACAGTTGAAGACACATATAGGGCAGGGTCTAAGAAAGTTCTCAGTGTAGTGCTTCTGAATCCTAAAAGAGACGCTATCCTGCCTCATTAATTTATGCCTTTCACTATTCAGGAAGCCCATGGACCTCAGTGTCCTGACTATATATTATGGAGGTTTCTCTTACATGATTCCAACTCTAGCCCCTCTCTTTTGATGTTAGTGGATAACAGGAGGTTAATATCTTGAGATTGATATCATGCAAGAAGTCTTTCTTGCCTTGCCAGACTCTACCTCAAGTCACCTAATTTAGTATAATATGGGTCCTTATCAAATACACTTGTAATTACTGGGGAAATTCCAAGGTTTAGAGATACCTGTCAGGAACCCAGGACAAAGACCAATAATTCTGAGGTAAGATTAATTTCACAGTTCCTTAATCTTTCAAAGGCTTACTTTTAAGCCTGAAGGGAAAATACAAAGAATTACTGGTAGTTTTGTATTGCTGACATACATCAACATCTTACTGCCACATGATTAAGTGGCTATTTGAAATACAGTCTATTTTTAATTAAAGAACCTAGTTTGTGTAAGTGTCCTTTTAATCTGAAGTTGATCGTAGAAATTACATGTATGCATTCTTATAATGTATCCTGTCACTTTCAGAGAAATAATGCTATACTGGTTGGATCATGGGTATGTAATGAATTCAGTAAGCCCTAATGGTTTTCTTTCAAAAATGTTAATTTATATAAGCATCTATATGATAAAATTGAGGAGCTCTGGTAGTGTAGTGGTTATGAATCGGCCTGCAAACTGTGCAAGGTCAGGAATTCGAAACTACCAGCTGTTCTGCGTGAGAAAGATGAGGCTTTCTGTTCTTGTAAAGATTTATAGCCTCGGAAACCCTGTGCAGGGTTGCTGTGAGTCAGAACCGACTCCACAGCACATAACTACCATCACCACAACCATATTATATAACTAATCATGCTTGTGTAAAATAGTTTTTCTGAAGTTACTATCTTGTATATATGTTGTTGTTGTTAAGTGCTATCAAGTCGATTCTGACCCATAGTGACCCTGAAAAGGGTTTCCAAGGAGCAACTGGTGAGCCTGAACCACCAACCTTGCAGTTCAAACTGGCTTTGTAGGTCAGCGCATTAACACACAGTGCCACACCAGGACTCCTATCTTGTCTATTTAAAGTGGGTTAATTATATATGATTTTATAGCTAATCTATATATGAATCTTAAATGTAGGCCTCTTTTAAAGTTTAGTGTTCTTGGAGTTACAGTTTTCAAAAGTTTTAATTTTAATCACGTGCTACCCTGTGATGTAGATAGTTCAAGAAGTATTATTACAACAGTATTGTTGATGAAGAAATTAAGATTCAGATTAAGTGTCTTCAGAGTTTTATATGTAAATAATTAAAGCAACAGGACAAAAGCCTAAGGTATTTGACCTTAGTCCCTTTTATTCCAATATCCTAATATTTCTGTGATATAGTAAATGATTATTTAAATTTTGATATGTAAATTTAAATTTTTAACAAGCTCATAAGTGCTTTTTTTCAGTTTCTTAAAAGGTGATATGTTTATTGTTCATAATGAGTTAGAAGATGGATGGATGTGGGTTACAAATCTAAGAACAGATGAGCAAGGCCTTATTGTTGAAGACCTAGTAGAAGAAGTGGTAAGTTTCTTCTTTTCTTCTCAATTTCTGATTCCAGATATTTTGTAAAAAAAAAAAAAAAAAAAAAAAAAAAGGGGATGTTTGCTATGAATTGATTTTATGTAAGACATTAATGTATAAGTATGTTGATTTCTTCGTTAAAATGTACTCATTATTAGCAAATGCTATTTGTATAGGAAATTATCTTGGAAACCTTATACAGGGTCGCTATGAGTCACAACTGACTCCACAACACTTAACAACAAAAACAAAACTCAGGAAGTTTTCATCCCTTCCTATGAATTAATATATTAGTATTTTTGCTTTGTTGTTATATAGGTTCTTATGTGTATCTTTTTTTTTTTTTTTTGGTACGTTTTGCTATGTCTCAGAAATGAGGTACAAATAATCATTATGTCAAATTAATTGCATGTTTTATTTCAAATTCCTAATCTTCCAAATACAGTGAAACCTGATAGAACCAAAACTCGACCAACTTGTTTTTCTGGGTCTCACAAGTTTTCTGTTTTTTTTTTTTTTTAAGTTTTTATTGTGAATTGAGTGATAGTTTATATGGGAGAGCACCAGCTATACATTCATCCTATAGTATACTGTTTCATTGCAATGATTACAGTCCCCTCCATGCATCATCATTCAACAGCATTTGCTTCCAATCCCTCTGTTTTTTTGGATATACACCGAAGCACTCAGGAATATATATCCATTCAAACAACCAAAGGGTATTCCCTGAATGCCAGTCCCCCAGACGCCAGCAAATAGCCCCTCTCTCTCCTTTAGTATAGCGCCCCCAGCCACTCCGTCTTTCCAGGTCATCGTCTCTGCCTCCATCTCTGGCATTGCTGCTTCTCTGGATAGGGTCCCGCATTCCACTCTTCTCCCTTGATTGTCCCAGGGTCCTCCGCTCCTGGACTGCAAGATCAACCACTCCCCTCCTTTTGTTCCAAAACCGCTACCTTTACATTTGCAACATTCACAATCAGTCCTGATAGCAGTTAGTCACTATTGAACTACAAGAGTGTTATCCTCATCTCCTTTTACCAGCCTAGTCTAGATAGATTGGAAACCACTCTGTGGAGACTCTACCTCCCCCCGCACCCTCTGAAACTAGGCTCCCTCTCATAAACTTCTGAGCCAGTCACTTCAAGCCTTTGTTAATTCCCCTCCCCCAATTTTGGGTAGCCAATGTCTAAGTTGCTCATACCTGTCAACTAACTCTGTGTACAGAGGGGGTGGAAATGTCAGGGTACATTCTTAATACTTTTCTGTTGCTCATTGTTGTGAGGAATATTTGAGTTTGTCTTCTCTGACAGGAAATACTATGCAAGTTCCAGACTTAACAGGTTTTATATGTATAATTTTCTATTAACTTCAGAAAGGTTCAGTTATATGATATGCATATTATCACATGGCTCTACATTTTTAATACTCCTTTTTTTTTTTTTTTTAACTGATGTTACTTTACTTAGTACAGTATCTGTGAAGTTGTATCGTACAATATCAATTACCATATTTATGTATTTCTAGGTAGTGGTCAGCATTCAAGCATCATTTGCACTTCAGGGACCAAAATATCACTGAAATATGAGAACATTGTTTTGGGTTTCATCCTCTCCCTTTAATTTGTCTGGTAATATGTAATGATTTTGTGTTATCTTTGTAATACTCAGGGCTGCCATTTGTAAATTATCTTACAAACCTGATAATATGAAGGAGCTTCAAAAAGTTTGTGGAAAAATGAGATTAAAAGATAATTGAATTTTTCATGAACTTTTGAAACCCCTTCTACAGTGATTATACTTCTAGGATGAAGACACTGGAGAATATTTTTCTTTTTTAGTACTTCTCTTGTCTGTCTATCCTAGCAGCCATATCTTGCTTGATTCATAGAAGTAAAACATATTGAGAAAAATAGTTGAGGAAATGGTCTGTTTTACATTCTATATATATACTTAGGTGGAGAGCTGGCCTTAGAACTCTTGGTTCCCAAATTAATTTTCTGTATTTGACAGTAGAAGAAAGATCTCCAGAGAGACAAGATGGAATTGATATCTTATTTGTGTTGGTTTTCTCCTACTGAGCACATCTTTTTTCTTTAATTGGAATTCTGGGTCAAATTTAACAAAAGAAATTTTAGTAAGGTTAAGTGAAAGTTACTTAATGAATCTAGAAAAAAAAGTTGCACAATCTAGGATAAAGAGATACGATCTATTATCATTGCAAGGAGGATAAAAAAACAAACTTAGCAGTTCATATGAGTGAATATTATGATACGTCAACTGAAAATTAATTTAGTTGTATTTTAAGGAGATGATTGAATAGTTCCAAGTTGTAAACCATTTTTACTCCAATTTTCAAAATAATTTGTTACAGTGAACTTCACTAGTTGTATTTCATATAGAATGAAAAATCATTTTGGGATTGTTTAGATTGTGAAGATGTTTCAGGCATTCAGCTGGTGGTTTTGATTGTTGTTAAGTGTTGTTGAGTCTGTTCCAACTCATAGTGACCCTGTATAGGATTTCAAAGGAGTGACTGGTGGGTTTGAACTGCCAATTTTGTGGTTAGCTGTCCAGGGCTTATCCTTCAGTGCCATACCAGGTTAGATTTAAGGAATTTCTCACTTTGAATTCTAATTACTATTCCTCAACCACATTTTGCTTTAATTTCTTAACTCTAGAATGTATGCTCTATAAGATGAGAGATTTTTTTGTCTCTGACTTATCCCATTGCCTAGAATGGTACCTGGTACTAGTAGTTAACTCAGTAAAGGTTTTTGTGAATGAATAAATGAATGTTTATATGACTATACTTTTCTCTCTTTATAGATGGCACTTATTCTACTAGATTGGCTGGCAAAATTTGATTAATCTTTACCAGCTCAGCTCACATGTGATTCCTTCTTTCACAGAAGTTTTATTCCTTTTTAGATGCACTTAAGCTTACTTGTTTCAGTAGCATTTTATTAATTCCGTATTTTATTATCATATAAAATTAACGTGTTATGTAAACCTCTCCCATAAGAAATTAACTAGTTTTGGGCAGTGACAATGGTAATTGTTTATATATACATATGTATGTGTGTATATATATATATTTATATTTTAGTATTCCCTGAATATTCTTTGATTTTTAGTTCAACTAATGAGTGAAGACCAAATTAAGAAAAATAAATCTATTGTTAGATTGTTTGCCCACTCATTAATTTTTTTATTCAGTGAAAACTTGGTGCCTGGTACTATGCTAGGTACTAGGGCTAAAGTTCAGTGATACTATTGAAAATTTTGTGTCCAATACTGTGATGGTGTTTCGAGCAGAGAAGAGGAATGGTGTGGGTTTGAGAAATATTAACAGAGAATGGCTAAAACCTTAAGATGCTTATTGCCTAGTGCAATGAATCATGCTAGTGTACCTTCAACAGTGGTGGTTCAGTGATACAATTGTCGCCTCCCATTTGGAAGACAAGAGTTTGATTCTTGTCTCCAGTTCATCTCAGGCTTAGCCACCCTTATCTTATTTGTGGAGGCTTGTGTCTTGATGTGATACCGAGCTGGTGTCCTTAGAATTTCCAGACTCAGAAAGACTAGGAGGAAGGGCTTAGCAATCTAATTCTGAAAATCAGAGAATATAGATTAGATAATATGTAGTTAGAGTGACTTAAAGAACCTGGTCGTGTAACAGGAATGGTCACTCCTTCTTCCTACTCTGTTTTCATCTGGAAGCTCATCTGAAACCTGTCCGCCATAGGTGACCCTGCTGGTATTTAAAATACCAGTGGCATAGCTTCCAGAATCACAGCAATTCACATGTCACCACAGTATGACAAACTGACAGACGAGTGGTGGCTGAAAATATTTAATCACTGTAAACCTTATGAATAGCCGAGAAACACTGTCAGATAAGAGTGCCGGAAAATGAGCCCTTCAGGTTGGAAGACACTCAAAATACGACTGGGGAAGAGCTGCCTCCTCAAAGTAGAGCTGACCTTGATGACGCAAATGGAGTAAAGCCCGTGGAAATAAAGAGATGAGTATATACATGGACCTTACCAGATGGCATACACAGAAATCAAATTGACTACATCTTTGAAAAGAGACGATGAAAAGCTCCATATCATTAGTCAAAACATGGCCAGAGGCATATTGTGGAACAGACCATATGCTCATATGCTCATATGCAAATAAAAAGTGAAGCTGAGGAAAATGAAAACAAATCCCACAAAATATGACCTTGAATGTATCCCACCTGAATTTAGAGATTGTCTGAAGAACAGATTTAATACATTCAACACTAAAGAGCAAAGACCAGAAGAGTTGTGGGATGACATCAAGAATATCATACAGGAAGAAAGCAAAAAGTCATTACGAAGACATGAAGAAAGAAGGAAAAGGTCAAAATGGATGCCAGAAGAGACACTCAAACTTGCTCTCTAGCGTACAGATGCTAAAGCAAATGGAAGAAATGAGGAGGTCCAAGAGCTGAACAGAAAATTTCAAAGGTCACTTTGAGAAGACAAAGTCAAATATTACAGTAAAATATACAAATAATCTGGAGTCAGAACACCAAAAAGAAAGAACACGCTCAGCTTTTTTCAAGCTGGGAGAACTGAAGAAAAAAATTCAAGCCTCAACTTTCATTATTGAAGGATTCTCTGGGCATATTATTGATTGATGCAGAAAGCATCAAAAGAATATGGAAGGAATAAACAGAGTCATTGTACCAAAAGGACAAATTTGATGTTCATCCGTTTCAAGAGGGTAGCATATGATCAAGAGCCAATGATACTGAAGGAGGAAGTCCAAGATGCACTTATAGGAATTGTCAAAGAACAAAGCACCAGGAATTGATGGAATAAAAATCGAAATCTCACTCATCTATGCCAAGAAATTTGGAAGACAGCTATCTGGCTTACTGATTGGAAGAGATCCTTGTTTGTGCCCATTCCAAAGAGAGGTGACCCAGTAGAATGTGGAAATCATCAGACAATATCTTTGATATCCCATGCGAGGAAAATTTTACTAAAGATAATACAGAAATGGCTGCAAGCATGCATTGACAGAGAACTTCCAGAGGTTCAAGATGGATTCAGAAGAGGCCATGGAACGAGGGATATCATTGCTGATGTCCGATGGATCCTTGCTGAAAACAGATAATATCAAAAGATGTTTACCTGTGCTTTATTGACTACACAGAGGCTTTCGATTGAATGGATCCTGACAATCTATGGATAGCATTGCGAAGTATGAGTATTCTGGAACACTTAATTGTGCTCATGAGGAATCTGTATATGGACCAAGAGCAAGAGGTAGTTGTCTGAACGGAGCATGGGAACACTGAATGGTTAAAATTAAGAAAGGTGTGCAACAAGATTGTATTCTCTCTCCATATTTATTCAACCTGTATGCTGAGCAAATAATCTGAGAATCTGGGTTATATGAAGAAAAATGTGGCATTAGAATTGGAGGAAGACTCATTAACAACCTGCAATATGCAGATGATACAACCTTGCTTGCTGAAAGTGAAGAGGACTTAAAATATTTACTGATGAAGATCAAAGAGCACAGCCTTTGGTATGGATTACATCTCAATATAAAGAAAACAAAAATACTCACCACTGGACCAGTAAATCAATGTAGAAAAGATTGATGTTGTCAAGCACTTCATTCTTCTTGGTTCAACTATCAACTCATGGAAGCAGCAGTCAAGAAGTCAGACGATGTATTGCATTAGGCCAGTCTGCTGCACAAGATCTTTTAAAGTATTGAAGAGCTAAGATTTCAGCTTGAGGACTAAGGTGCGCCTGACCCAAGCCATGGTATTTTCAATAACCTCATATGCATGCAAAAACTGAACAGTGAATAAGGAAGACCGTAGAAGAATTGATGCTTTTGAATTATGGTGTTGGAGGATAATATTGAAAGTGTTCCTTGGAGGCCAAGATGGCCAAACTTCATCTCTCATACCTCAGACATATTGTCAGGAGGGACCAGTTTCTGGAGAAGGATATCATGTTTGGTAAGGTGGAGTATCAGAGAAAAAGAGAAAGACTCCCCGTGAGATGGATTGACAAAATGGCAGCATCATTGGGCTCAAGCATGGCAATGATTGTGAGGTTGGCCCAGAATCGGGCAGTGTTTCGTTCTGTTGTGCAGAGGGTTGCTATGGGTTGGTACCGACTCGATGGCACCTAACAACAACAGCAATAGGAAAGGTAGGCTTGAGCCATATGAGTCCCTGCAACTTTTTTTTTTTGCAGGATGAGACATTTGTAGGCAATAGATGAAGCAGTGGTTCAGTGTTTGATTTCCATCTATAAGGTTAGTAATTCAAACTCACCAGCTGCTTCTCAAGAGAAAGACGTGGTAGTCTTCGCTGTAAAGATTATAGCCTTGCAGACCCTCTTGGTCAATTCTCCTGTCTCATAGGGTTACTATGAGTTAGAACTGACTTGATGGTAGCAAGTTTGATTTTTGGTTTCAAAAGGTATTAAAGCAGCGCTGGTGGCTCACTGCTGGTGTGGTTGGATGCCAAAAAGACGAGTGGTTTGAACCCACTAGCCACTCCATGGGAGAAAGGTATGGCAGTCGGCTTCCATAAAGATTTATGGCCCTGGGAATCACATTATGCAATTTACTCTGTCCTGTAGGATTTCTGTGAGACAGGAATCCACGCAAGGGCAATGGGTATGGGTTGTTGTTGTTGTTCAGTGCTGTTGAATAGTAGAAAGTATTACAGATGTATTTTTAAAAAAATATGTCTAATTTTCTTTTCCTTAATGCAAGGTACATTTGCAGATGAAACATGAATAAAGATTGAAGTGGTGGGGGATGGGGCATAGAAGTATTTATATCAGTTGGGCTTTTGTAATAGTTTAAGGGAGAGTAAAAGAGCCTGAATTAGAGTAAGAGCAACAGGGGCAGAAAAGTAAAGGAACAAGTTTTAGGAAATATTTCATAAGCTGAGACTTTTTTTATGGTCATAAATAAATATGTTGAGCAGTGTGGAAATAAGTTTGAATATATGAATTTTATTTAAGAGTAAATTAATAGGTAATTATGTAAAACACTGTCTTAATGTCTTCCCTTTAGGGCCGAGAAGAAGATCCACATGAAGGCAAAATGTAAGTTTTTATTAATTATTGAAGGGGGCAAATATATATATGCATATGTGTACTTTACCATAAATTTACTTATCAGAAAACTTTGGGCAGAAATATAAAAGGTAATTGATACTTTTGGATCAACTGAAATATTTGTTTATTTTCCTCAGTGAAGTGATGTCTAAATATTTTCCTAGGAACCTAGTGAAAAAAGGCTTGTTTTTATTTGTATGCTTGTATGTAACTCAGCTCAGTGGCTCTGTAGGATAAGCAGTGGAGTGCTAACCACAAGGTCAGTGGTTCACATCCACTAGCTGCTCCTTGGAAATTCTATACAGGGTCACTATGAGTCAGATTCACCTCGACAACACTGAATAAAAACAGCAACAAATGTAACTCAGATTATCAAACTAAAGACCTTTGTAAACATGAATGACATTATGAGTATCACAATTCTTCACATTTTTTTTATTCCTTATTGTTTTTACACAGTATTTTTCTGTAATCATAGCTAGAACTTTTATGCATTTTTACCATTCAGTTTTTGTTTTTTGTCTTCTCAGGGAACTTTTTCCCCAAGATCATGATTCTTCACCAATGTAATAAGATTCTGCAAGAACTTTTCTTTTTATAATCTTTTCACCCTGGCTATCTTATAAGGGCATATTCAAAGACCAGGTATTACTATTATACCTACTACTTGCCACATTCTTCTCTTATAGTCCAGAACTACTTATTAGCTCTAACCAGTAACTTCTTATGGGAAATCACTGCATGTGACATTTCAGCTTTGCTCTAATCTTACTTATTATTATTGTCCTTGGAGCTCTTTTTATTGTCCTTCCCTCTTGACATTTACTTGTATGTAATTGTTCATTTAACAATCTTAACCCTTAATCCCAGTTCGATCTCATATACATTATTTGACAAATACAGACTTCTCATCTAATACTTTTTAGTGGAATATTTTTTCTCGTCATTTCAGCATTTATAGATGGAATTTAACAGTTACCTCTCAAGTGTTTGCTGTTTCTGTTTTCCAACTATTACAACATAAAAATATTAAACTGAATATTTAAGTTGAAGTCATCGTATTTAGTTCTCCATCCTTCCTTAAGTGGAATACATGAGGTGCTTTCTGAATTCATTTTCTTCTTGGTCTATGTAGCTGCCAATAGACTTCCATCAGTGATGTCCTTTTGAAAATATTACTTTGAGGTATCCAAATGTTTATATCGGGTGTTGCAAATTTTAATTAATGCTTGGGGACATCAGACAGATAATATAAGCAAGTGAAATGGATTAAGTGTATATATTCCTTTTTTTTTTTTTGGTAACACAATGATCTTTTTCTTTCTTCCCCCTTTTGATAGAGATATAGATAAATACTGTTTTTTTTACTGTAAGAAAACAGCACTTCAGCTAACATTCACTCTTGGTGTTAGGAAAGACTGGGAAATGGAGAACTAGAAAGCCTTTGCCTATTATAAAATGACTTGTTTTTCTAATTGATACATACAAAAAGATTTAATATTGTAAAATCATCCTGATTTTCAAGAGTAGCTAGAAATCTCTTTTATGAAGAAGCTAAGTACAGATTAATTTAAAAAGAAAACAGAAAACTGCAGGACAAATGCTAGTAAATACCTAAAACATCTAGTTTTCTTACAGCATAAAGTATAAATCCCAGAGAGTCTTCGTTTTGCTTACTTTTGTGATTCTTCCATCTTCCTAGCCTTATAACTTTTTATCCATTTGATACTTGTTGTTAGATGCGCGTTTTTTATAGCAATTCTGTGTACAACGGAATGACACACTGCCTGGCCCTGTACCCTCTTCACAATTATTCCTGTGTTTGAGCCTGTTGTTGCAGCCACTGTGTCAGTCCATCTTACTGAATGTCTTTCTATTTTTCATTGACCCTTCACTTTACAAAGCATGATTTCCTTCTCTAGGGACTAATCCTTCCTGATAACACGTCAAAAGTTTCACTGTCCTTCTGAAGAACATTCTGGCTCTACTTTTTCCAAGACAGATTTGTTCAATATCTGGCATTGCTTGGTGCTTTCAGTATTCTTTGCCAAAACCAAAATGCAAAAGCATTAATTGTTTTTTGGTATTATTTATTCATTGTCCAACTTTCACTTGGCATATGAGATGTTTGAAAATACCATGGCTTGGGTCAGGTATACCTTAGTCCTTAAGGTCATATCTTTTCTTTATAATACTTGAAAAAGGTATTTTCCAGTGGTTTGCCCAGTGCAGTTTTTGGTTTCTTGACTGTTATTTCCAGGGCATTGATTGTGAATCCAAGTAAAATGACATTTTGACATTTCAGGCTTTTTTCTTCGGCGGGTTTTTGTTTTCTTTATATTGAGGTATAATCCATATTGAAAGCTGTGGTCTTTGCTCTCTCTCAGTAAGTGCTTCATGTCCTCTTCACCTTCAGCAAGCAGATTCTGTCATTTACATAGCACACACATTGTTAATGAGCCTTTCTCCAATTTTGATGCTGCATTTTTCATGTAGTTCAACTTTTCAAATTATTAGTTTAGCCTGCATAATGTATAAGTATGGTGAAACGTATTCCTTCTATAGGCTAAAATCCTGATACACACCTTTCCTGATATTTAACCATTCAATATCTCCTTTACTGTTCACCATCTGTTTCTTGGTCTATGTGCAAATTCCAAATAAGCACTGTTTAGTGTTCTGAAATTTCCATTTTTAGCAGTGTTACCCATCATTTGGTATTCACACAGCCAGAGATAACCTTTGCATTAAAACATTGGTAAGCAACTTTCTGGTATTTGTTATTTAGCATAAGCTAAATTTTGGTGTTTAGTATGATGGAAGAATTAAAATGGTATTTGGTGATATCTTTTGTTAGATGTTACAGAGTTGATTCTGACTCTCATAGTGACCCTATGCATAACAGAAGGAACCACTGTAGAATTCTGCACCATCCTCACAATTGCTACATTTGAACCCATGCTAAGTTTGGTGTTTGCATAGCGTAAATATACATTGTTAACTTACTCATGTAATTGTTCCCTTTTGATTTGTTAAAGTGGGGCCTGTGGGACTCCTGGAGTCCTGCAGTGGTGTTGCAGGTTAATGCGCTGGATTCCAAGGTCAGTTTGAACAAGGTTTGGCAGTTCAAGCTCACCAGTCGCTCCTTGGAAACGCTATGTAGAGTTGCTATGAGTTGAAACTTACTTGATGGCACTTAACAACAACATAGTAGAGAAATGTACTTATAGTCTTCTCATTAACATCTTAAGTTCCCTTTTGGTTTTAAATAGATGGTGTAGCTTTGATGTTTTTTTTTTTTTTTACAGCTGCTTATTTCTATGGGTTCCTGTTGTGATGCTTATATAGGATAAACACTAGACCATGAGGTGGGTTTGACCACAAGGTCGGAGGTTCAGACTCACCAGGTGCTCCTTGGAAACCCTATATAGGGTCGCTATGATTCATACCCAACTGGACGACACTTAACAATAATAGTATTTCTGTGATGTAGATTCCAAGTCTACATACTCTCAATATGTGTTTCTTCTCAACTAGAACTGTGTTCTAGTTCAGGCCCTTTTTACCTCTTCCCAGGAGTTCATAAAACAATAACCTCTAAATTGGTCCCTCTTGACTCTTCAGTCTCTTCAAATCCTTTCTTCCAGAATCTGCCAGAATTATCTATCTAAAACACATATGAGAACGCTTAAAAAGTTTGGAAGAAAAAAATTCCATTATCTCTAAACTTTATCTGACTCGAGCCTAAGAAGACCCTCTGTGATTCAATCCAACACTTATGTACTTGACTAGTCCTACTTCGTACCATTTCCAGTTTTGTACACTAGCTTATAGGTCTTCAAATGTATAATGCTGTTTTTCTTCTTCTTATCTTCCTCAAGCTTTCTATTCCAGAATCCCCTTCCATTGTACTTGACTAGTTTTTACTCATACTTAAATATGAATTTCATTTATCATTCTTCCGACAAAAGCTCCCTTCATTTTCCTTTCCTTGCACGCTTTACAGAATTGCTGTCACTCTTTTGTATTTCCCAAATACCTTAGCACACATCTATCACTGCATTTAGTGTATTTTCAACATTAAAAAAATTGTTACACCATATTTCTGTCCTTTAAAGAATGAGGAATTCTTAAGACCAGGGATACCTTTCTTATCAGTGGTTCACAGTCTGTACTTACAATACATAGGCTTTATATATTGTTGTTAAGTGTCATCGAGTTGGTCCCAACCCATAGCGGCCCTGTATAGGGTTTCAAAGAGCAGATGATGAGCTTCAACCACTTACCTTGCAGTTCAAACTACTTTTCAGTCTGGCACATTAACTCAATGGTGTGGAGGCCTTGTTTGACTTATTCTGACTTCACAAGAGGGAAAGACAATCAAACACAAAATCAACCCAAGGTCGATTCCTATTAAGTGGAAGTCATACACACTTCTACTCTACAACTTTATTTGCCCTGTTTTGGCACCAACAGTTCTTCCCACACACTCTCTGCTTCATATCTGGGTTCTATAATCCATTGAAATGATTGCACAGAATTTACAGACAATATTCATGATTTTGGAGTATGGTAAGGAAATGAACAGGATACAATTCAGTATCAGAAACAACTCAGGATGCAGCAGTTGCCCAGTCAGGAACACCTCTTTTCTGCCATGCTGTAGGCATACCTCTTTCCTTCTGTCTCTCAGCTATGTGGCCCCTTTGCCTCTGCCCTGCTCAGGAAAGTGTTACAAAGACCTATAAATACCCCCAAGGGCATATTCTGCAAGCCAGCCTCTTACTCATAGGCACTCAGCTTTACTTGGTCCATGGGCTGGGATGCTCAAAGCTGCTCTGTCTCTTCATGCTACTGCTCTCTTGTTACCCAGGTAGGGATCACACACTCCACTCATGGGTCTTCTTTTCTGATGGTCCTGGGTCATCTGTTTCTGCTTCTGAGATGGCATCTTTTAAACCTAGTGGGATGGCAAAGCTAACCAGTCCTTTATACCATATTTGCATTGGTCCCACCCAAACATTTGGTGGGAGTTAGAAAGTCTTGGGATAGAATACTATCAAGTAAATTAACATTACCACAGTAGTAAATTTCTAAAAAAAATTAAACTGAGTTGTAATCCTTTTAGAAAATTTTATTGAACTTTTGTCTTAAGGTAGTTCTTTTACACTTTTTGAAAACTTCTTATTCGCTAACTTTCATCCTTCATTTGTTGCTTTTCCTCCCCAGTCTTTGAAATCTCTCTCTCTCTCTCTCTCTCTTTTTTTTCCAACCGGTTTTAACTGTAAAAATACGGGATTGGCCTTAGAAGTCATCTAGTTGATTCTTCCCCAGAATATTGAAAATGTGTTATAACCTTTGTAGTAAATGTTTGCTTATCCTAAACATGAATACAGTACAGAATCTCACTGTTATAGTTGTAGATTTGTTTTACATTTTTCATACTTCACACTGGAGCCCTGTTGTTGGTATTGGTATCCACTCTTTCTGATCACACAGACCTTGTTTTCTGGCTTTTCTTTAACTATGTATCAATATCTTGATTTTATTTGAAGAGAGAACTTATAAGCAAAGAAGTTCATTTTGATAAAGATATGTGAAAAACCTTTTGGTTGATAGGCCCTCTCCCCATAATTGTGGCATAGACTCTACGAGTACAATTTGTCCCAACCTCACCCCTTCAGAAAAGAAAACTAATTTGGAAGTAAGCATATAACGGTTGGTCATTATCACAGTTAAAATGTTTTTTTTTTTTTTAATTATTTTGTATTGGTAATTGATATAGAATTTATAGTTTATATTGTACTTGTTAGTCCCTAATTTTTCTATATTTTGTTAAAATTAGGCATTATAATATATTTATAGAATATATAGATATGCATGGCATAAAGTCTGTTAGGGCAATGTCTGACCACATAAATACATTCATGTTTCCATAAACTTCTTTTTGGAATTTTTCTTTTTTTAAACAGGAAGTAAGTAGCTCTTTTATTATTCTTTTCCTAAGGGTTTTAAGGAGTTCTGATATGGCACTGCAGGATAGCACTGAACTGCTGACCAAAAGGTCGATGGTTCAAACCCACCAGCCTTTTCTTGGAAAACCCTGCACAGTGTTGCTATGAGTTAACACTTAAAGGACAACAACAATGGCTTTAAAAAACTCCAAACTGCCAGAGAAAATGGAGCAGCACGGTTCCAGGGTGAATTCCAATCCCCTCAGTGCCACCTCCTTTCCTTCCTTCTGACCTCGTTCACCCACAGCATTTAGCTTTTTACTCCCAGCACAGGACAATGCCTGCCATGCCTCCTTTGCTCCTGTTGCTGATGCTGACTTTCTCGCTGCACTAGGTGCTCATTCACTCTCAGTTTCTGGCAGCAGCCATGACTACATGTGATGAAGAAACTGCTGCTCCAATAGGCTGGCGGTAGCCAGGGCTGCCCCCTCCAGTCATGCTCCTGGCACCTGCACACCTGTTTTTCATGACTATTCTCTGCTAGCCTTGCTGCCTCTTCCCATTGTGCATAAAGTCCCAGGCTAGCTACCAGGGGCACTTGCTGTTGGCCCAGCTCAACACCCAATAAGACTGGCCTTTTGTATCCAGTGGTTACAGTTCTCAGGCTTTGTCTGGCAGGCTTTTATAAAGTTTTAATATGATAGGCCTTATCATGGTGTGGTATAAGATAAAGCACTGGACTGCAAGGTCCATTTGAACCATAGATTGGTGGTTCGAACTCACCAGCCGTTCCATAGAAACCCTATACAAGGCCATTTTTGAGTCAGAACTGACTGGACGGTGCTTAACAGCAGCTTTAGATTGTATTGGAGCTGCCTTTATATATTATGGTGTTCTCATAACATCCAAATCACATAATGTATTATTTTACAGACTGTATTGTGAATGTTAAGTAACGTATAGTAATAAGTTAAGCAACAGTATAGAAGTATACCTACAGTAACTTAAATTTAACAGGAATTTGGTCATTTAAAGGAGCTCTGGTAGCATAGTGGTTACGAATTGGGCTGCGAACCGCAAGGTCAGCAGTTCGAAACTACCAGCTGTTCTGCGGGAGAAAGATGAGGCTTTCTGCTCCCGTAAAGATTTACAGCCTTGGAAACCCTGTACAGGGTTGCTATGAGTCGGAACTGACTCCACGGCACATAACAACAACAAGGTCATTTAGGATTAATTGCATTGCAGCTATTTCGTTTACATCAACTGGAATTCATTATAGTGTTTGGTTAAGTTTGATTATATAACAGCAAAAAACCCATTTTGATTATCTAATGTGCTTTCTTTTTAAGATGGTTCCATGGGAAGATTTCCAAACAAGAAGCTTATAACCTACTAATGACAGGTACCTCTGTGTTCACTTGCTCTTTCTAATGTCTTGCCTATCACTGACGTATCTTTTTTATTTTTAGTTGAAAACATGCATGTAGTATAAAATTCAGTGAAGTATGTTTTCTTTATTCCCCAGAAGCAGTACTAAATGATTCTCTGTTCTATATATGTTCCTAAATGTTTTGTGTTTGTGTGTGTCTCTCTCACCTATACATACAGAGATAACACACACATATACTTTTTTCTTATTAGGATGTATATTATGGGGACCTTTAATTTAATTTCTGTCTACAGGTAGAAATTGTCGTTATTCTTTTAATTGACTATGTTGTTGTTGTTAAGTGTCGTCGAGTCGATTCCGACCCATAGTGTCCTTCCTTGAATAGGGTTTCCAAGGAGCAGCTGGTGAGCTTGAACTGCCGACCTTGCAGTTCAAACGTCTTTACAGACTGGCGCATGAACCCACAATGCCACACCAGGACTCGTAATTGACTAGTGTCCTTTTATATAAATCATATACTTTATTTAGAAGTCTTACTGTGGTGATGTAGGATAAGCACTGGGCTTCTAACTGCAAGGTTGGCAGCTGAAACTCACTAGACAGCATTTAATAACCGCATACTTCATCATTCTCCTAAAGAGGAATATTATGTTGTTTTCAGTCTTTTGCTGTTCAGCTGCTGCAAACATTGTTGCATTTATATTTGTGCACTTGTGGAATTACATAGTTGGGCCTATTTAAAATCTATTAATTTTAACATTTCTTAAAGTCCTGGTGTGACACTGTAGGATAAGCACTGAACTACTGACCCTACACAGAGTCAGTATGAGATAAAATTGACACAACAGTACTTGTAGGTGTGGCAGTGTAGGAAAAGCACTGCACTTCTAATAACAAGGTCAGTGGTGCAAACCCATCAACTACTCCTTGTAATCTTATAAAGTGTTGTTATGAGTCAGAATTGACTTGATGGTACTTAACAACAACAACAACAAAATCTAATTTTAGCGAAATGAAGAGTAAAAATGGGCTTGTATTTGTGGGTTGATTAATTTAAATAATTCTGTTCAAATTCTTCAGCCGCTCCTCAAAAACCCTACATAAGGTAGTTGTGAGTTGTATATATGTTGTAGTTATGAGCAATATTACCAAGCTCCCTTCAGTTTGGCCTATATTAAATAATGAGTCCGTTTCTGTGACTGAAAAGTATATTTATGTATTGAACTTTAAAGATTATGTTTAAGGAAATTTATTTTCTCCTCCTTTTGTTAAACTTGAAATTATTTGATAATAAGTGCCTTGACTGGATGATTGGAATGATTAGTAATTTACATAAAATTACATCTGATATTTTTACATGCTTATTTGTGCTGTCCTAAAAACAATCAAGTGCAAATCTAGTTTTATGTCTTTAGGACTTAAATGAAGAAAAGTCTAAATAACTTCATGTTAAGAGTCACTGCCAACTTTAGATATTAAAGAACGGTCTCTAAAATTAATATCAAAGTATTTGTTATATGACAGGTTGACTTTGCAGAATCATACCTGTTGAAATGAAAAACAGTATATTTGTATTAATTTTGTTAATAAAAGTAATACAGATTTTTCACTTGATTTTGAACTGCCTTTGTCAGTTTTTGTTACTATTCTCTTTTATTAGTCATTAATTTTTAATGAGTAATTGTAAACCATTATAAAAGACAAAGTATTTCTAAGAAAAACGAGTTTTACTGATTTAGAATTACCTAAAGAGAATGTTGGTGTCTTTAGGGTAATCACTGGACTGTTAACCACAAGGTCAGTGGTTCAAACCCATCAGCTGCTTCTCATAAACCTTGTATACAGGGTCACTATGAGTCAGAAGTGACATGATGGCACTTAACAACAACAAAATATTAGCAGTTTTAGTTTTACTGTGGTTAAATTATTTTCTGCCAATAAAAACAAAGAGTGGAAGTCTCAGCTGCAAAATTTCTGTCCTTTGTTTTTATGGGAAAATAAAAATAAGGGAAAAATTATTTTGGTAAAATAAGTTCCTGGTGAAAATAGACATACATTTATGACTTTTGAACATACTTTATAATTATACTGAATAACTTTTTTGATTTTTTTATTATGAATTCATTAGTGCCACATTCAGTATACTTCATGTTGTTACAATGATTGCAGTCTACTGTATTGAACCATCAGTCAGCAGTATTTACCTCTATTCATTTTTTTTCTATCTCCCCACACCCACCCACCCTGTAACCATTATAAAATGTTTCATTTAGCAAGAAAATCTATTCTTGGTTTCTGCAAAAAAAAGTTTTTTTGGGGGTGTGTGTGATAAATTAACTTTTATTTACTCTTACCATAGTCTTTTTTTTTTTTTTAAGGTTTTTATTGTGGATTGAGTGAAAGCTTACAGGGCAGATCATCAGTTTTACATTCAACAAATCATACACCTTGTTTCATTACAATGATTATAATCTCCTTCATGTACCATCAGTTAACAGTGTTTCTCTCTATTCACTTTCTCTTTTTTAAAAACAAATAAACAAAAAAAACCAGTCAGGCATGTATAATAATTTACATCTCTAAAGGGCATGTTCTTCAAATCAGTCTCCTGGCCACCAGCTTTTAGTCCCTCTCTTCCCATGAATCTAGAGTCCTCAGCCAATCCGCCTCTCTATGACCCTGTCTCTGGTGTCATTGCTGCTTTGGATAAAGTCTCGCATTCTGCTTGTGCTCTTTCCCCCTTGATGATCCTGGGGTCCTGTTTCTGGACTGTAAGATTAACCACTCCCCTATTTTAGTTACAAAACTTTTACCTTTACAATTGTGACAGTTGCAATTAGTTGTGATGACAATTATTCACTATTGAATCATACGAATCTTATACCCATATCTTTTCACCAGACCCATCTAGACAAGATGAAGATTATTCAGTGGGGACTCTTCCCCCCGTGCCCCACACTCTTAAACTATACTCCCTCTGGAAACCTTGTAAGCCAGTCACTTCATGTCTTTATCGCTCCCTTATTTTAGGTAGTCTATGTCTAAGTTACCCATCTACCTTGTGTACAGAGGAGATACCATTGATACTTGATTTGAAGACTCCTTCCCTCTCTGTTGGTATTTAGAGTTAGGTCAGGTTCATCAAATTGTAGCAATTTACACTTGTTTCTGTTATTAAAATTTTTTTTTTTTTTGTAATCTTCCTCTAGTCAAGTTCTGATTATCAAGCCATCAAGGCTAGCTCAAATGGGTACTCTCTGCAAGTTTGGGTGTTCTTGTGCATCTCCCCTTACTTCATTTCAGCTGAGTGCTTCACTCTCAGCTCTAACCCTCTGTGGCTATGTCCTTGTCCATGGGCTCAAGTGTCCCCAGGTCTTACCACACTTAAGAACAACCAGACCTTCCTCTTCTCTCTCTCATTTGCAGGTCAACAAGAGTCAATGGACTGTGGTTGTACTCAGCCCATTTCTTCATTTCTGCCTTTCCTCCTCTTTGACTCACCAGTAGACCAGTGTGGTTGCCAGCAAGCTTACACACCTATTCGTGTCTTCCCTTTGGATTTCAGTCTTAGGGGTTTGTCCTGAAGGAACTTGATTGCTTGCCTTGATGGTTTCCTGCTGAACAACTTGCTTATTGTTGTAGTAGCCAGTCATGCTAACATTTTTGTTTTGGGTTTTTCCTGCTGATATTCATTGAAGATGTATCTTTTGTTGCTCTAGCTGTTCCAGTCTGGTCTGTTTGTCTTTGCTAGTGGGAATATCCCATCTCAGAAGGTTCTGGATGGGACTCAGGATTCCACCTAAGGCCTATAGTCTGCAAAGGCTTTGCAAGAGGCCTATTTCACTGGGCAAGTTCTAGAACCCCTTTAAGTATTCCAGTCAGTTATAGGCTGAAGACAGGCTTGCAAGTTTTCTGTAATCATGTTTTCCAACATTCCTTTCTGTCCCACTCAAGTGTCTATTTTACAATAGTAGGCAAGGGAAACCAATATTTATAAGACAGTCAAGCATTTAGTATTATTTCTCCTCTTCAAACTATGCCTAGATCTCTGTATCACAGAGCCCTGTTGTTCCAAGGTTGAGCATGCATCACTATTTACCTCTGTCCCATTTAGGCCATGCAAACCTGTCTCATTGTTCCCCTATCTATCTTGTTCTTCCACCTCCTCCTTCTTATATTGCCCTCCCCAACACTCAAACTAAACCCCCCACCCTAACCCCACTGTTGTGGTTACCTTATATTCCATTAACTTGTCCCTCAATTTAAGACAGTCTATTTTTATCCTGTAATCTCCCTGACCTTTTCACCACCTGAATCTTTGTTCCTCTGTTTACCATTTTCACTGTAATTGCTTTGATCATAGACTGACCCCCTAGATCCTCTGTTCTTATAATTTTATTCTGTTCTTGACGCTTCCATTTGTCAACTGAAGTTCAGGGTGATGCTGCCATGTATGTCATTCTTTGGTTGTTGTCTGTTCTTGTTGGTTCTCAGCCCACAGAACTTCCTTTAGGATGTTTTTCAAAGCAGGGTTGAATGTTTTGATTATGCCTTCGTATTTGATTGACAGCTTTGCTGGGTAGAGGATTCTTGGTTGGAAGTTTTGTTTTTTTTTTTTCCTTTCCGGTCTTTATATATGTCTACCCGTTGCCTTCTTGCTTGTATGGTTTCTGTTGAGAGATCAGAGCTTAATCTGATTTGCTTGCCTTTGTATGTTACACTTCTCTTTTCCCTAGCTGCTCTCAGGATTCTGTCCTTATCTTTGATTTTGGAGAGCTTGATTATTATATGTCTTGGTCATTTTCTTTTAGAGTCTATCCTTCCTGCGGATCTTTTTACTTCTTGAATGCTTATCTTTTCGCTTTTCAGGATATTAGGAAAATTTTCTTCCAGCATCTCTTCAACTATCTCCTCTGTGGACTTGTGTGATTCTTCCTGTTTTGGAATGCCAACAGTTCTTAAGTTATTCCTTTTCATGTTGTCCATCATGAATCTTAGACCTTCTTCAGATT